TTATTCCCATTCTGCATTGAAGTTAGGATGACCACCTCTGCCACCATTGCAGTCACTATTCACAGAGGTTCTGCTAATTCCACCTCCATTCTATCCCAGATGGCATTTGTTAACATCAAAGCATAGTAGGAACGTTTTTAGTGCAGTAAAAAATGTTGAAAATTAATCATACCATTCATTATAACAACAGATTTTGCATAGACAACTAACGAAATGCAAAGAAAACTATGCAGACACCCTAATTCTGAAGAAATTTGTGGCGTCCTGGGGACAAATGAACACCAATTCATGAGTTCTATGTGCTCCATGCCGAGCACCATCAAAAATTCGAACTCTTGAGAAATATCATAACGTTTTCTGAGATTAAAGTTCGTGCACTAAAGTTAATGGAATTGACACGAATGTCTTGGAACTCGAAAGTCGCATACATCAATCCTTCATCTGTGGCACGAGTAGGTAGTTTACGCTAGAAATCATCATTGATGAGCACCCAGAAGTAAACAGAAAAAAGTTTCAACATTGCAGGCCGGACATTCCATTTTCTTAATAATGACGCCAACGTTCATTCAACACGACTTAATGCGACAAGTCATTACGGGATGAAAAAGAACGTGTTTTAAATATTTGTGACACCATGAGATTGTACAATTCCTAAAAATGTTCAGCGATAAATGAGTTGCCAAGGCGACTAGAAGAACCGCCTTGGTAACTAAACCGGTAGGCCATTCCTAATTTCTCTAAACTTCGTAGAACCAATGGGGTTTAATAATGGGAAAAAGCAGAAGTGTCAAAAAAACATTTATTGAGGCAAAATAGTTTCTTTAAGCATTAAAAGGGGGACCTACTTCAGGTACTAACTGATCCGCCATAGCAACTAATCCACTCCATTCCTAAATTGAAAAGCTCCAACATACCGGATGCCAAACTCTGAGTTGGCTTACAATCTTCCACCTACGATAAGAAGCCGCATTTTGCTGAGCTATCATTTCACGTTGGGATAATATTGGAGAAAAATATGTAAAACTAATCTGGGCTGTTTGGATCCTACAGCCTCCAGAAATAGTTTCGCACCTAAATTCCTATGTGAATTGTAAAACCAGGAATCAACGCCATTGTTGCTAGTGAGAACCACATTTGAGGTCTTCTAAATGACCAATTAAACAATGAGTACCAGTAATGGAGGTGTGATCCCTCAAGAAAATGAAAGTTTCCCATAGTTTCATTGCGTCCCTCGAAAGCATATCGAAGGTCTCGCGTGACAGCGGTATTTCTGAATAGACATTGCAAAAGTACTCTGCCTCTTTCACCCACAAATCATCGATGCTATCGGCCTAGAGGTTCCCTGAATTGGTCACTAAATGAAGTATATTCAACAAACTATTACAAGTAAAAAGCAAGGCCAATACCCCCAGTTGAATAAAAAAAGTTGACGTTTGGCTGGAGCTAAGTATTTTAACGCATGAAACATGGGGCGAATGAGAAAACTAAATAAAATGGGTACACTTTCAATGGCAGAGATGTGAGATCAAGTAAATATAAATACTTCTGGTTCAAGACATCGAGTGAAAAGAGAATGCAAAGATATTTTAGACTAGCTGCAGTGCCTTTTATGTTTAGGAAATAATAACAACACTCCAGAAAGGCCTCAGAGCAAACATTTATGATCATTACTTACTGATGGCCCCAATAAGTGCAATCTGTAATTCATACAATGAGATGGGGTAGAACACTGAATCCACAAGCAACGTGAAAGCGTAATCTCATCCTCCCTCCCAAACTATAGGCAGTTCCAACACAGTCCAGTGATTGGCTTGAAGATAACCAAGAGCAAGGCTCGAAATCCAACCGCAACTTAATAGCATCTCTCTTCCCCTTACCAATTATGTTTCGCATCCAAACTACCCTTCGACAGTAGCAGTGGAAAGGTGTGGATACCGCCGGAGGGTCCGCATGAAAAAGTGCAAAACTCATTGAAATAAGTCTCAGCTTACTTTGGACGAAAAAGAATTTTACTACTGTAAGGTTAAAAAGGCTAAAACTTCTGCTCTAAAGCGTGTTGACAAGCATAGAGTGAAGGAGAAACCGACTGAAGCACTCCAAATGCCCTAACTTTCCCATCAAACAAAATTTCAAGACACCTTCCTCTTAACAAGAACACAAAAAATAAATTGGAATCAACAAAATACCAAGAAAAAAACGTGTCCTTCGGTAGGAGACACTAGAACAAATAGTCATAATGCTTAAGGAAAAGAGATTCACTTTGAGTGGAAAATTCCTTTGTATTATGAATTTTAACGAGCAAACCAACAGGTACTTTAATAAGTGAAGCACGAATGAAAGCTAGAGGAAGAGGCTTACTTTGTAGAGCTTCATCAAAATCTGACCTAACTATGAATTCGTTCTCCTTAGCTGCTTCAAGATCCAGAGTGGACTCAATCATTTGGACGAATTTACTGAAGTTCCGCACTGCCGTCTGAATTTAAGAGGGGAGTGAAAATTACTCAATTTCAAAAATAAAATTTTGTTAAAAAAAATTTATTTTAAATACCATCCGACTTGATGGTACGCGAGCTTCGTGTGAGCACTAAAGTCCATTTCATTGTACCAAACTTGATGGCGCGATTCCAGCTGCCAAATGCAAAATATCACCAAGTTTAGGAAAAAATTGTTTTCCGGACAGTGGAGCAAGTTTACACCTCGAGGGACATTCCTGCCAAGTAAGTCACAAGTTTGAAAACAAAAACGAGAAAGTTTTGCTAACCGTAATGCAGACAACTTTGCATTTACATCCTGCATCTTTTGATCGGTTTAAGCAATTTGAGGCTGTTACAATCATTGAGAAACAGACAGGCAAAATGAGTACTCCGCAAAGAGATCTCGGCAGAAAGAGAGCAAGCTTTAAGGTACATAATACAGAGACGTGATTCTTGAGAATCCCAAAAATAATTAATTGTCCGTTGATTCAAGAAATCAATGCTTACCTGGAGATCTTTCACAAAGCAGTGCTCTAAGAGTGAGGCATGCTTGGTGTTACCTCGACAGAGGTGATTTATCATTTCTGGAAGAAGTCCCGCCAGCTTATAAACACGATAAACATCCTAAAAACAAAAAAAAGAGATGAAATTCAACTTTTGGTTGCCAAACTAACTACCTCTGAGACAAGGAAAGCACTCATGAGGCTGATTGGTCGTGCGACTGAAGGACGAGTTGCGCGATTGGCTGTAGATGAGTATTTAGCGGATCGCAGATCCTAAGCCCCCTTAGCACAAACACCAAGATGGAAAAGTTGAGAGTGCCCCTCCTCGTCACTCTGACACTCACACTTCTAACATCACGGGAGAGCTGTTGTACGAGGCTGCAGAACGCACCGCCGGCCATGCTGACAACCGCAGGTCTGATGGCCTCCTCATCTCAACTACCTCCAGATCCCTACGATCTCGTGCCACCTATTGACGACCCTTGGGGTAAGTGGCATCCAAATTACCGCCTCTACTCATCGTCTCACCACTTAAAAGATAGGGGGAGATATTCACTAATAAGGACTGATTCGCCCTACTTAAGTAATTAAAACAAGCTCAAGTTGAACACAACCCTCTTGATTTCAAAACCGGATGCACGAAATTCATCTACTACCACTTTTTAACAAAAACTTATGTACGGGACGTGAATCACCTACCAAAGGAAGCCACTCCAAAGCTTCCTCCATTCCATTAGTGCCACGAAATTCAGAGGAAAACTCGTGCACCAACAAAAACAAAGTCGCCGTATGGGAATAGAATTCAGTGGTCTAGGTTAATCTGCTGATGAACATAAAAATTTACATTAAAACGCCTCTTCATAAAAAAGGCATTTAAAATTTACGAAATCCATTGATTTCGAAGAAGTGCATGAAAAACCAAGTCCGGATAAATTTTGATTAAAGATAGGGCTAAGTCCTTCACCACCACAACCACCAAGCCATCACATTTCTAGTTTAGTATAGAGAATGTCGACGACTCGCCCGCTCTATCAATCACAACAACATTGTCAAGTGATTTGAAGAGAATCGCGACCAGCAGGGATCAAGCATCAAACAATCTTAATATCCAGCTACGTTTCTACGACCGACTTCTAAGTTTTACTTTGTTAACTTTAGATGAGGCCTACCCACCAACGTTGAGAAAAAGACCATGGGCGCTGCCAGATCCGCTACACTGTTGCCTTTTGCGACTCAGTTGCTGCCGCAGAAGGGCTCCAGCTAACTACTCATGAAGAAAGGAATAAAAGAAACAAGATACAAAGACGGGGGAATGAACAGTCCTACTTACACCTTATGCGCCATTTACTGAGAATAAAGTTTCCACATAGTGTTCCAGTAAGCTAGAAGAAGGCGTGGGCCAGTACGTATGAGGATGATAATGGCTGTCAGATGGGACAAATAAAAGGTGCGTTCCTCCGATTGGGAAGATAGTATTGAGTCAAAGTCCTAAGCCAAAAGTGAACACTATGGAAAGGCAGAGTCGCAAGCAAAATGGGATGATTTTCCGGAAACAAAAGAATTTCTAGCCAGAAATACCGATATTAATGAAGGCACGCCAGACTTTTGATCATTAGTAAATCAAAATCCGATGGTAATTCAATGAACTATCCATAGTTTCCTTCGAAGTTAAAGTGTGTTTTCCTCCAAAAGTTCCTAAAAAGTTGACAATTAGGAAATGAAAAAGGCCATAGCACAAGGGAAACAAACAACTCAATCCCTTGTTTTTACCAAGGCATGTAAAGCCACCTCGTAAGATGTCACTAAGGCACCATTTGGGGCATGCCGAAAGCACGAATACTTAATCCTTTCATTATGGCATTGACAGGGAGGACCTTCAGTCAAAAAGGAGCAATACAGTCACAGATAATGACTTGCTTCCATGGCTAAAAACCTAGGGAGAATCAGCAACAGCTCAAATATAACACTGACTTGACTATTAATCACTGCAGTTCACTGCTACAACCTAAACCCCGGAGTGACATTACGTTGCTAAATCACCAACAGTTAAATTCGATGTTTGAAATATCGGATATGATGTCTGAACTGCATACATTCTAGGAGCAATGTCGCAATCTCGTCGTATAGATCGGGCTGGAGGAATGATTAAAAGAACTCATCTTTGTGTAGGATAAAGGATGCCTTTTCAGAATGGAGCTCGAAACAGAAAAATAGACCCTATGAAAGCAGCCAACTTTGTAAAGTCACCCAAATAATTTACTTTTTATGCGAAATATGCGGGACAGTGCACTCAGAACACAGAAACGGCAATATGACCGCATCAAGGATGGAGACCCAAGTAGAACAGAAGAAAAAAGGGCACGTAGACATCAGAGATTCGCGCTTTCGAAACATTTGCATAATTTGAATCAATCGTAGAAATATCAATGGGCGAGCTTGACACAAACTACTTAAGAGAATCCCATACCATCCATTTTCATTTCCCAAAACAGTCCTGTAGAGATTCATGACTTTTTTGCAGCGTAGGAGTGTCAAATGTTACACGTGTGTACACTGAAGTCCTATCATAGGTAGCGTAGTGCATTGTTGAAAAATTATTGTCACCGCCGTTTTTTTGTTTGACAACAATAGAGGAGATTCCATCCATTCCCACGGCAATGTAAACGGGAACAATCTTCCTCAATTTAGAAATAACGAATGATTCTTACTCTGCAAAGAAACTGATTTGATGAACGATTTGTTTGTTTACCAAGTCAATTAAGCCTATCGGTTCTCATCTGATTTCAAAAAAATGGGATGACAGATTATCGCGTAGAGATATGAGAAGCGCAAAAATCTCACCCTCCTGCCTCAATAATGAAAAATGCAGAAAGGACTGCAGACGATACTGGAACGGCAAAAGAGGTTCAAAGAGTCTTGCAATACATTGAAAGGACGAAATTTGAACAATTCCGATAAGATGCGAGCAGCTATTGGCAGTTTCCTAATTACGATAGGATGGGAAATGAGTTATATCTGAGCACTTTCAACAAAAATCTCCTTACTTTGGGTCTACAGTTGAGTTTCACTTGCTATGGTAAAAAAGAGCTTACAGGGAGATTTCGAACGAAATTATTCACACATAAGTCAAAGCCCTTTAATGCTTCATACAGATAGCAAAGGTGATGGAAAAATGCTCGGGTTAAGACCTCATTGACAGGTAGTAATGAACTTGAATCCGCTACCATAGTAGCCATCAATTTCGC